AAATAAAAAAGAATTGCTAAAAAATAAAAATTATATTAAGTAAAAAAAAACTAAAATGGCAATGAAATAAAATACAAGCAACAATCAAACAATTGAACTATTAACGCGAAATGAAAATTAAAAATTATTAACGAGAAATGAGAATTGAAAAAAGTAAGAGATTCCAAGCCAAGTTACTTCCCGACGTTTCGATTGTTAATATCCACAATCGTCTTCGGGTGATAACTGGACTTATTCCTCTGAGATCTGACTATTTATAGGTCATTCGAGTGCTTTATGTAACTTGGCTTGGAATCTTTTACTTTTATTAATTTTCTTGTTAATAATTTTTAATTTTCATCTCTTGTTTTAATTTTCATCAATTGTTTGATTGTTGCTTGTATATTATTTCATTGTAATGTCAGTTTTTTTGCTTAACAACCTAATTGTTATTTTCAGCTATTCTTTTTAATTTTTTATAGATTTTTTCAGGAATTTCAAATCAATTTATATCATATTAGACAATGGAAGTCCGAACTAATGAAATGCACCACGAAACATTGTCAACCACCTTCAAACGTCAGTTGTTATCATTTTCTCTTGATGCCAAAACGATGAGTGAACCGATTGATATGAATCTTAGATATAACTGAAACATTAAATGTTAAGTTGAATTTATCACAATAGATTAGTGAAAACCACACCAAAATCAGTTGAGCCTTTTTAGAGATTGGCGCTAACAAATGCACAGTCAATCAGACAGCCAGCGGTCAGTTACATTTATTATATATGATGTACGTTTTATGGATATTTGTTCATTTGTAACAAATGACCCGTTAAGTAACCTAGTTGCGGAGACGGAGTACGGAGTGGCATATTATCCGTGACCACTTCGACAAGAAGTGTAACCAAGAAGCATAGAATTTTCCTGGTGTGATCACTTTGACCCCTTCCCCATGTAAAATGTTATTTCAAAAACTCTCGACCTACGGCACATTTGATGAAGTGTGGCTAGATTGTGGCTCCTCTAGTCGATTGGTTTGTCATGCCTGATTGAAGGACATCATAAACAGAGTCAGTTTAAATAAAGTAAATATCAGATTCAATAACTCATGTTCGAATTCAGCGAACAGGATATTTCGCTCAGCAGATAATATTGAATAACAGTTGTATAATTCGTACTAGAATAGAGTTTTGCGAATAATAGCTCAAAGATGTTGAGGAGTCAAACAAATTCCTCCAGTCGATTGATTTGTCATGTCTAATTGAAGGACTTCCTGATTTTTCTCAGGTTTATTATATAGGTTACTAGCGATCCACACCGGCTCTTCACGGGTGCAATGCTGATACTAAATATACATATCAACGCGGGTGATCGCTGCGAATCATATAGTGTTATAAGGCGAAGCTAGGCCTCCGACGCGCTATTTATAGGCACGCCCCGACGGCCCCCGGCCGTTACCGCCGCAACCGCTATATACCTGCATTTCAAATATGCAATATTCATTTGAATTACATGCTGCAAAGGGCCATATTGATCTATATTATATGCACAGTGTATTTTAGGTACTTAATTGGATAAGGATCAATGCTGTATTGCCTAAAATCGCTACGTAAAAAAGTAAAGGATAAAAAATGGTTAGTGTGGGATATCCCTAAGAGATACAGATATACCATCGCTGACTTTTTTGAAGATCTTTTTAAGGTGTCCAACCTACTGTAGTACATTATTCTGATCTGTCTCGTAGGGTTCAGCCAGCGTTTGCAGTATAGGCGAAAAAAATATGTGCAGTCATATTCCATTTTATATCATTTCAGTGAATGTACTTCTAGATGTGCAGATGTGCTTATGATCACGTGTAAACACAATGCAGTCATTTATTTTCATACTTAGAAGCATCTTGTCAAATCGTGCTTCAACAATAAACCTGGAAATAAAACAAATACTCGCATTGTTCTTTTATTGGGCATGAAAATTATATTACTGATTTCACGATGATTCGTGAGAATTGGGTAAGTTGAGTTTTATTACCTATAAGCCATCACTATTAACAGACTAACAAATATCCGTTTTGAAATATAATTGGAGTTAATGAGCATTCGAGGTAATACCGACCTTGAATATTTTTTTAAAAATAATGTCTAATTTCACGTCCATGAATGTATGCTTTTCAATTGCATTCACTAAATACAACTAATTTTAGTGATAAGATACAGATGGTTCGGACTATGAACGAGATGGACATGATTTGAGTAGCTTGTAAATATTATTAAGTATAGTATTGAGGTCTTAGCTATTTTTTGATATGGTTTTTATTGATTGGAATTGATCCAATTCAGCTGGAATTGCCATGTACAATATTTTCATTTCGTACAGCAGTTTGCATACTGTTGTTTACTTCTATATTTTGTACGAAAACGCTTAGAGTTTGGTTAAATTATGGTACAAGTGTGTGGGTCTAAGGGCCGGTTTATCAATCGCCAGCTAACCTCATTTGACTAATGGTTTTGTCTTAGCTCCTAGTCAAACTGTTTTTCGTTATCATGTTACCATCAACTGGTAGCTGAAGTCTCAGTGACCGTAACAGTCGCTAGAAAGTGATAGTTTTTTATTTGAGCTGACAGTTATGTCACAGAATATCAGTTCCGATATTCTGTGGTTATGTGGTCGCGCATGCGAAATTAGGTTATTTAGGTTTTTTGTGATAATTTGAGAAATGCTTTTTGCAAGTAAAGGGTTAATTACTATAATTGTTTGATTAAAGAAGTTTTCCATTTGTTGAATGACGAAGATGAGGATATATTGGAGTTCAAAGAAGACCTTACATTGTTAATGAACGTAATGATGCTTTCAAAGAATTAGATGAGGTAGAGACTTACAGGTCCTGATGTAGAGGAATTAAAATTAAATTCAACTCTTTTCCAGGCCTCTTCTTTCTTCTTCCATGTGATGGCATCAGGTTTTTTTTGTTCTCAATGATAAATTTATAGGAATTGGCAATTTTTATTAGGAGTGATCTGTCTGTTTCGGTAAAATTGGATGTTCTTTTATTGCTCATTTTCGTTTTTCATATGCCCTCTCAACTCATATAGGTTATTATGTATAACTCATGAACTTTTTGTTAGCAGTTGTCATTTTTGAAAATCAATCCTCCAATAAAAACAAGCCCCTGAAATAGTCACTTATGCCAACCTTAGTTAACTGACAGTTATTAAACATTAGCATCAGTCAGGGTATGATAAACGATTTGAATAGTAACTGCAACATTGACTATCAGCTAAGCTTAGCTTCGAGGTAGCTAACAGGAGCATTTAACTACATATTGATAAACCGGCCCTAAATTATGAAAACCTGATTTGCTCCGCTGAGCGGCAGTAACACAGTATGGTGTTCTGCTGTTTTATCATATTTCGAACAGAGACGGCATGGCACGCACTGTCTTCCGAAATTCCAGGTCTCTTCATATGATGGCAGTGTCATGAAATCAGGCATGTTAGATAATATAGGGAATCCCTACTGTAGTCTAACAATTGTTCCGTGAAATTTTCCAAAAAACGTATGAATGCCTTGGATTGGGTTAATTCTAATAGATTTCGTAGGTTTGAAGATGTTATTGTATAGTAAAACACGTGTAACGGTTTTGTGAACTGTTCACAGAAAATCTCACAATGAAGTGTTACTCGTGATAAGATATAATCAAACTGAAACAAATACAAGAAATGTAAGACACAATCAAGTTAAAATTATTATAAAGACCTTTAGCTTGTTTAATCAGAAATTTTAAAAAAATAGATGCATCCAAAATCAGATATAGCTCAATAAAAATAAGCCTGCCAAACTCTGGATAGAATATGCATTCCAGAGCATTCATGAAAAAGCGATCAAAAAACTGACTCAAGTTTTCTCAACCCTGAACTACTGAATAATCACTGTGTTGAGTGCACAATGATGATATTTTGAGTTTGTGTTCAAACATATTGAAAGATAATGACATATAAAAATGACATGATGACTATTACATATGATGAAGTTGGAAGCGTTATAAGGCATACTAGGTCTACTAATGCAACAGAAACAGGTAATATCAGTTTTGAAATACTGAAAAATGTCATAAGTTACTTGTAGGACTTCTCTTGCTGATATCATCAGCTGTTCGTTGGAAATGGAAATTATCTCCAAATTGTAGAAACAATCCATTGTTCACCCTTTGCTAAAAGTACCAGAAGCAAGAAATTTCAAAATTGGTATTTGAATTGCTTTGATATCTTGGGTGTGAGAAGATATCGTATCAAAACTTCATAATTGAGTTTGAACCTCATATATAAGCATGAAAGAGGGTAGTAATTGAAAAACTTCCTGAACTCCTTAGTCTTTCTCAATATGCGATCAGCTGGTAAGATTCCTTGGATTTTTCTTGATACTCTGTTGCCTTCCATCTTAGACCTCAAAAATGCATTCCGAGAGACATTATGGGTTACTGGTACAGGAAGTTGAATACATTTTGGTATTGAAATGGATCTGTATTGAAACGGATTATCAATGCATCTGATTTTTCATAACTGGACAAACTTGCCCCGTTTTCCAAATTTCCGGAAAACTGTTGTTTCTTATAGAGAATGGGTTGAATAAACTATTTACTGTAGTGGGAGATCAAATCTGTTTTATTTATCATTCTCTCAAAAAATTACTCTTTTAAATAAATGAGTCTGTAATGATCAACAACTACAATAATCGAAGTTATGAAAAAAATGTCCAGGTAATGACGGAATGTTTAAATTCCGTCATAAAGTTGAGATTCGTTTCATTAATTAGGTTTATTTCATTTCTGTTGAGACAGGCATGCCGTTGAGTTTATCTTGCACAAGAAAAATTATTTCAATTTTCATTTTGGTAAGTATTATGATTTCACTTATATTTGAGCAGAGTTTATATGTGAACTTATGCTGTAGTTTATCACATTTAATAGATATCTAATGAATTTTTTTATATGGATTTGAGTGGTGTGTAGTGAAAATCAAAATGTCTTGTATAGTTTTTATTCTAATCTAAATCTAAATCTAAAACAAAATCTTATCGGTTCAAGCACAAAAAAAATTATTATACATCACTTTTTCATCGTCTGAGACGCTAACATCAAATGTACATATCTGTTAACTTTTATTCTGGCGGAAAAATAAAGAAGAACGTTCTACTTCATGTATCTTTATGGTAGACCGTTAGTGAGCTCAAGCGGGTTGGTGATTGCATTTGTATTGCACAATACAAACGATTTTTCGATAAGTTGGTAATCTCGAGTTACTCCAGTTCATCTCTGCTGAGTCTAAATCTGGCAAAATCCTCGAAGACGATGTTATCCTCATCGTCGTTAGCGAAGCTTTGCTCGTACCTTCCCTTGTCGATGGACTTCATCTTCTTAATGGCTTGAGCCCGTTCCTTCTCGATGGTGCCGGGAGCGGGATGTAGTAGTTTGAATGGGACGTCTGTGACTAGCTCTCCCCCGAGAGTGCCGCAGTTTAATTTCACCCTCAACGAATAAGATATCACTATACCAATAGCGTCGATGGGACATTTTCCGTCCGGCACCAAAGTGGAACTGGCCAGATTAGCGTCGTCGTCACGAAGACGTCCGTCCAAAGCAACTCCTCGGCGGTCCTTGTTGCTGGAAGCTAGAGGCACCAGGTACACCACTTTGGTAAAACTGGCACCCGGCGTGATAGGGCACCCTTCGCGAGTCTCCAAGCTTGCCACGTATTTGGAGAATTGAGCATTTACCATGGTGACCTGAAGAAAAAGAAAGGTAATTGCTATGAATGGTCGATATTGATAAACTGGAAGAAAAGTACTTTCGAAACAGCTACCCAGATTTGGTGCTGAAGAGCTGATAAGGCAAGTGTCTTACGGCGGAACATCGGATGACCACCAGTAAGGATGATAGTGTTCCGTGTAAGTGAAATTTAACCTCTTTCGTTCAATATATCGTGTAGTAATTCTGTGAATGTTATCTGATTCAATTCCATAACGATTGTTTGGAATATAAACTGAATGGAGAAAAGTCTTTTTTGTATAATTCAATGTTCATATAAAAGTATTTGTCCCGAAAGTATTTTTCTTTCGTGTAATTCGTGTAAATTACTGAAAAAAGGTATTTCATAATGATATTTCGCAATTGAATTGAAAAAAATGAAAGTAATATAAAAATAATTTGTCGACCGCAATGAAATTAAAATTCAATAAATAAATCTTCAAAACATAAATTCTGTTATTTTTTTTGTCGATTATGACTTTCTTCACAATTAAAAAAAAATTAAGAATGAGGTTAAAAAACGATTCATGGCTATCGTTTCTAAACCCGTAGTGCCCCCAATGTATCAGTTCCATTTTGCAGTACCGAGACGTTTCAAATTCTTTTCTCTAATCTCAATCTCACTTTTCATTTGTTATAATGTTCCAAATGATCTATTGGAATTCAATGATGTGAACATTTTATTTGAATATATGCACATAATTATTTGTACATGGGAATGTAGAATGTTTCATTTGAATAACCGACATTCATAAGCGTGGTTCACAATTAGCAAAACATTGAAGTTATTTTTTCAAATAGTATATATTCAAATGAACATTCAAAACGAATATGTATACGTAAATTGTTCATGCGACCTTTCTAATTATTTGTTTCATTCTGCCATTTAGCAGGCTGGATTTTTTCAAAATGTATCGTGCTTCTTTTAATTTCACACCAATAATTATCAGGAACACGAGTTTGACGGTTTGATGGATAATGCAACCACTCAGAACGTTTTAACATAGATCCACTCGTGTAGTCAGTGACTGACGAAGCTACTGTGTGGCGAAACGCGTTTTAAATAAAATTTAATGTGGAAATTCTATAATTATCATCATAAATAGTGGATTGAATTTAATTAAGTAACGGGTCAGATTATTATCGCACTTGTTAACCTCAATATTGGATTGGTCATATTGGAATTTCTAGGTCATTCTGACACATCTCTGTCTGATTTCTTTTTGTTAACATGCTAGTATCACTAGAGGCTCCATATATTACCAGTTTTTTGGATAGCTGATTCAAACGCGAATCACGTCAAAGATATGGATGGTTAAAGATAAAAAGAAATTGAAAAAAGCCACTTTTGGAGTATTTAAAGTTGCATAATGATCACTTTACATCGAAGCATTTCTCCCCTGAGAAATGATCCAAATCAACGTACTCACTACTGTGGGAAATTGACGGATTGGCTTTATTTTACATGCCTCAGAAAAACGATACCACTTGACAACTATTTCATTTATGCGTTTTTGAGCGTGTTGAACTACAACCTAAACGGACCCTGTATCGCCTGTAACCGAGTTCTGTTCGAAATATTCTATTGTGGAGATCTATTTCGGATCCGATCCCTTTTCTGTAGGTGAATTGAACGAGACGAGTTGTAATATTTATATCGGTGAGGTATTCCTAACATTAACAATAGCAACTTCCTGGGGCGAAAATGCAGCCATGTATTTAAGATTTAACTTTGCTAGAAATCGCATATCAAAAAATTAGAGTCATTGATGCGTATAAGATCCCGCTTCTGAGGTTTATCTTTCATACAGAAAAAATCTATTTCCATGCACCCTACTTTTTCAAATCCATTTATTGAGCGTGTTGAGTTTGAAGCCAAATGTGGGATTGCAAAATGAACTAATATCAAGGCTATCACCCGTTGAAACAGGGTACAACCTCTCCAAAAACTCAAATAACAGTACAAAGAATAATTTGTTTTTTTGTGGGTGAGTTTTGAAAATAATCTCACTTGATCACCCAATTTTCCAGATTGTGGAACCTACTTTAATGGTGAAGCTATTTAGGAGGAGCCGAATACTGATAACAGAATTATTCTTTCATCATTATAATCCAAATAAATATGAAATGAATTTGACTGATCATATCTCTTTCTCTTTTCTAAGTCAAAGTCAAATCTAATTTATTCATCAGTCAGCAACCAGATAATTAGTATTGTATTCGAAAATTTCAAGGCCTAGCGTTATACTGATTTCAAAATATTACTACTAATTATGTGAAAAAGTAATTGATAAACCTTTGCATCTAAAGATGCAAAATAAAATCATTATTATTATTATCAATAAGTCACTGATCGATTTTGATATTCCTGAAGTGATACTAGTGAGTAGCATTTTTTTCTTCAAAGCATAAGTTCAGTACTATTTATGGAACTTACTTTTTTATATTAGTATTGTATTCGAAAATTTCAAGGTCTAGCGTTATACTGATTTCAGTAAATATTTATAACTGACATAATAACCAAGAACTGCCTGCATTAGATTTGATTTTTTTTTCTATTTATATCCAATAATTAAAAAACTCTTTCAAAATGTTACTACTAATTATGTGAAAAAGTAATTGATAAACCTTTGCATCTAAGGATGCAAAATAAAATCATTATTATTTTTATCAATAAGTCACTGATCGATTTTGATATTCCTGAAGTGATACTAGTGAGTAGCATTTTTTTCTTCAAAGCATAAGTTCGCTACCAGTTATGGAACTTACTTTTTTACCGGCCATGAAAATGATAATTGAACTATGCGATGTTTCAATGGAGACCGACTCTTACCATCTTCCCATAAGATATCATTGGATTCACCGTTCGAATATTCGTAACAAATCAAACAGAAAACTAGTTTCTCTACTATAAAATAATTACATCGGCTTTTTTTGTTTTTTTTTTTGTTCTGGTTATGCTAGCTTGGATAGCGATACGCGCCTCAAGTGACAGTATTTTTGTTCTGGTGTGGGAAAAGTGTGTTTAATAGAGTACTTCAGTCATTGACTCACTTCGCAGTGCTGGACAACGTAGACCTTAATATTGCGCACTTGCTTCCTGGAGTTATTGCTGATCATCACATTAGCGCCTATCTTTTCGCCATGATAGTAGATGTCCTTGTCAAGGGTCACTTCCAGGTTGATCTTTCCGCTGGAGAAAGTAAAGCCTTTGGATATCAGAGAACTAGGAAGACGACTGGCTCCCTTCGCTGGGGGAGCGAATTGCAGTTTCTTGATCGCCAGCTGGACGGTGCTGCGTTTACTTCCTTTGTCCTCTTCGTTGGAACCGACGTAGCATTTCACGAAGTATTCGACTCCAAGGGGTTTGCCTTGGTCATCCTCGCCTAATGAAAGTAATCAATGTTAATATTTTTTTCTGATTAACTCGGCCTAAAGATCCATAGTGGTTTCACAAACTAAACCTAACGCTATCACAATAGTTTTTCATAGTGAATAAAATACTGAAAGTTAATTATTTACTAAATTTTTATATACCCCTACCACCAGTGAAAAACTACCTACTGAGGTACTTCATCGATCATATGTACCTAGAGCATCTACCCAACTCAACAGTAATGGTGATTGATTTAAATCCAGTTGGTCACTAAGTAAACTGTTTGAATTTTTATGTTTATTAATTTTCATTGCTTCCAAATGATTTAGCTATAAACCTTCATTTTCTTTGTGTAAAACTTTGAGAGCTCTGTTGAAGATAAGTTTTTTTTTCAAAAAGTTGATATGAATATGCTGAATTAGTTTTCTTATTTATAAAGCTTGTGTGATGAAATACTGCTTATGGTTGGGTTTTGACGATGCTCGATTTAGGACACAATTTGAAGCTCCTCGTCTCTAGGACAGCGTTGGAGATCACGGTTATGTTTCTGAGGTGCAGCTTTCTCAATTGAATGTTCACTTATTTTGTATTTTTTCGGAGTTATTTACCGCCGTTCATTTTAAATCAAACAGCTTTCTCTTTATTCAAAAAATATATCTACATGGCATTCCAACGAAAACTTGACCCCCCCTGTAAGTCAGAAACGGACGTGTAATCGAAAATATCAAAGAACATGTCAATTTTTATTTCTAGGGAACTAATTCTTCAAAAAATATATCTACATGGCATTCCAACGAAAACTTGACCCCCCCTGTAAGTCAGAAACGGACGTGTAATCGAAAATGTCAAAGAACATGTCAATTTTTATTTCTAGGGAACTAATTCTGATATGAAAATCATACCCGAAACTTCACCTCCTGCGGTCAGCAACTACCCCCTATTTTTTTCAATGGCATGGGGGGTCGAGTGATACATCATTTGAAAGGCATTTTGTCCCTCTATTACTTTTGTAATTTTTTTCGAAATTGAATCATTCGTTATTGAAAAATTAAAAGTTGAACGTTTTATTCAAGAAAAAACAGAAAATTCGCTGTCGTTCATTTTTATGAGGAAATCAACAAAATAATATCAGTGGAACAAAATGTTTCCGTACATTATTCAAGATTTCCGGAGTCAGCAATCGGCATTTCCGATTCAGGTCTTCGCAGGTCTTCTAGATTTGTAGGCTTAGTAGAGTACACTTTCGACTTCAGGTGTCCCCACAGAAAGAAGTCCATCGGTGTGAGATCAGGTGATCTAGCTGACCACTTTACTGGACCCCTTCTGCCGATTCAACGCATTGGAAAACGTTCGTTCAAAAACTGTCAAAATGTGGGGTAGCACCATTTTGCTGAAATTTTATTTAATTTTCTACTAAATTGTCATCATTTTCCAAAATGTGTGTAATCATAGTATCTACACACTCTTGTTATAGATTTAACTATGTGTCTCCATTGAGATTACCTTCAATAAAGAATGGTTCAACAATATGATTATCAAGAATGCCGGCCCAGACATTCAATTTTTGTGGAGTTTGTGAATGTGTTTCCATCACCAAATGAGGATTCACATCGCTTCAGTAACGACAACTATGTCTATTCACTTCACCATTCAACATGAAAGAACTTTCGTCTGAAAAACATGTATTGTATAATAGGTTTGGGTTATTGGTCAATTTTTCACTGAACACCTAACAAAACTGAAGTCGACTATCAGGATCATCTTCGTTTAATTCCTGAACTAGCCTTATTTTGAAAGGATGAAATTTGTAGGCTTTCAAAATTCAAAAACACTAGTAGCTGATACAGCAGACGCTCTAGCTTCTTGTCTGATAGATTGTCGATTATCCATTCATACATGTCCTAAAACTGCAACTTCAACTCCGTCATTTCTGACAGGACGGGATACTTCATGTTTTCTGTTGTGAACAGAACCTGAAGTTCGAAACTTATCCATTAACTGTTTAACGTATTGATGGCGCACGTTGTGGCCTGGATAATTTGTATTCTTGCAGCCGCTTTAGCACATTCATTATTTCGATAATAAGCTGCAACACTTTCTATTCTCTCTTCAGTAGAATAAATCATGTTGGAACACAGTGAACAAGGATGACTGAATAATAATTCGTGAAGAAGTGACAGTGGCCAACTATCTACTTTTTGTTCTGCGACAACTAGATTCAATAAAACTACCAGTGAAAAAAAAACTAACAGTGTCGTCCATTTCAAAACGGTTACTACTAAATAAATAAATTCAACAAATCTAGAAGACCTGCGACGGAAAATTGTTCAGGAATGCCGATTTTTAACTCCGGACATCTTCAATAATGCAAGGAACACTTTCGAAAGTAGACTGTATTATTGTATGGAGCTAGAACATTTTATCCGCTGATTGTATTGCCATTGATATTACTTTTGTTGATTCCCTCAATGAAATGAGCGAATTTTCTGTTTTTCCCTAAATGAAAGGTTCTACATTTAATTTCTCAATAACGAATGAACCAAATTCGAAAAAAATTCAGAAGTTATAGAAGGACACAAAAACTTTCAAATGATGTATCACTCGACCATTCATGCCATTGAAAAAGATCGGGGGGATAGTTGCTGACCCCAGGGGGGTGATGTTTCGGGTATGATTTCCATATCAGAATTAGCCCCAAGTAATGAAAATTGATGTGTTCTTTAAAATTTTCGATTACACGAACGTTTCTGACTTACAAGGGAAGTTAAGTTTTCTTTGGAACGCCCTGTATATTCTCTGAAATGTCATAAACACTCACTGTAAAAGAACGTCCAAACCTTCACGATAAATCGCTAAACGAAACGATGCCATCTTTGTTGGGAGTAAGCTACTATAATTGACAAATTAAAATCGTATCCTTACCGGGTTGAAGGGTGACAGAGCAGGGAGACATTTCGGGGAAAGTGAAAGTGAATGGATGAGCATTGGGCCCCAGCTTCTTGGTCAACTTCTCCTGAATAGGCGTCAACTGTTGCTTCTCTTTTTTACATGGTACTATTTGGTCGCAGTCTATGACCATTTCTTTGCTGAACTTGACACCCATAACCTCGTCTTCTTCTCGACCATATCGGTAGAGGGTAAGCACCTGGTGAAGAGGAAATCATTTATCAATTGCAAACAAATTTGGTTTGAAGCAGTTGAATTTCAATTTCCATTTCAATGTAAGTGAACAAATTGGTTTCGCAGAATTGGAATTCATAGAAAACTTGTTTTTTATCAGTTGGTAATTGATTGACATGAAAACGAGTACTTAATTTTTCTGGTAAAACATTAAAAAGCTTTTCAATATTGATTCTACTGACAACAAACCATTACTCTAGTTGTTTTCGATATTTCCGGCGATACGTCTCAGGTGTGGTAATAACCGCAATTCAAGATGTTCGGGTGTATTTGAGCAAAGCAATAAAGATACCGATATTTGAAAAAACTGAAAGATTAAAGTTCAAACTTTGCAACTGGGCTGACCTTCAACTAGGAATATTTTGTCCCCATCCCCTTTTTCAATCAATAAATTACGCAAATTTCATGTGGCCCACAATCTCTGTGATGATACTGTTGAACATACAAACAAAGATTCCTGTGAAATAAAAATCTATTTTAGAAGAGCAAATATTGTTTTGTGAGAATGTTATTGACGCCCTGGATATTGTACAATTACTTTCGTATTGAAGTATCTTTGTGGATAAAATCGGTGCTAATATAGAATCTAGAAAAGATACTTTTCTGTACAAACGATGGATTGTCGATATTTCCGAAGGAAGAAAGTCCATTCTGGTACGGAATGTGGTTTTTAAAATATGTTTTCTTCTTCATCTTCTTTAGCTTTGAATTAACTTTGATTTAAGCCATATATCCCTCATCATCTATGCGAAATTGAGATGGAGGATAAAGAACCTTTGTCGGGTAGCCTCAGATTATATTATTTCTAAAGATTCTTATCATAAAGTACAGTTTTATCAATAAAATAAGAAAATTGTTGGCGCTGTTGTAATATATTATTAAGACTACCTACGAGTGCATGTTTTGGATGCCTCATGCCAAAATGCAGTAACTGATTACTCATCATCTTTCACCATTTCTGAATATATAACAGAGAACCAGTCCAGAGGTATAGCATAATCAATTTTTTTAAGGACAAAAACACAAGCATTGAAAGTCCTTAAGGCGCTTTAAGGGCGATGTCTGTGCGAAAGTAGCAATTCACATTGTTTTTTCCACAAACACCAAGTTCTCCAAATGAAAAAGTTCTTGAACAGTGAAGTTCGAGGTGTAGTGAGTTACGATGAGCAGCCGGTCCGTCGCGAATTTCTGATATGAACCGCTTTTGGTGGAATCAAATATATCAAGTCACTGGAACACTTCCCGTGAAAGTATCTATAGAAGAAAGACAAACCTTTCTTCGATGTTCCAGACTATCAAGGTTGCGAGTGATGTTCGCGTCTCCACTCAGGCGGATGGCTATTTTCTGGATAGAATCCAGTAGCTTCATGGTAAGAGACGGAGCTCCATACATGAGAACAATACTCCAAAGAAGGTCTGATCTGAGCTTTATAAAGCATCAAAAGTTGTTAAGGTGTGTACAGTGCGAAGACAGATTGGTGTCCATTCTAAACCCCAAAAAAACTCATGGAAGCAGAAAGCGATCAAACCGATGCCTGGGTTTTTTTGCTATTGAATTGAACCTGGTTACTTTCACCTCAATTTGAAATCACTGCTAGGTCCTCATTAAGATATGCAACCTCCTGCTGCTGGTGGAGATGTGCATCCGCAGCCGATGTCCTGGAATTCAAATGGAATAACGAGACAAGTGTGCTGTCGTCAGCAAAGCAATATATTAGATAATAAGTCGATAATATACAATAAAAAGAAGGTTGGAGACAATATGGATCCTTGGGGAACACCAGCGTTGATGCTAACAGTATTCGAGAGATATCCATCGACGGCCACTTGGAGGAAACGTTTTTTCAGGAAGCTGGAAAGCCATACTCAGAAATGATCCGACAAGCCATAGCATCAAAGTTTGGCCAGCAAACCCACATGCCATACACGGTCAAAGGCCTCAGAAATATGAAGCGCAACAGCTATTGATACTCCATGTTCCTCGATTGCGTTATTGCAAATGTGGGTGACATACGATAGAAGGTCGCCTCTTGATCTTTGTTTCCAAAAGCCATATTGATGATCATCTTGTTTGTTCGACAAATTATCAATTTTCACAAGCTGTGTTTTGGCACGGAGTAGTTGTTTTGCTCGAAATGTTCTGGACACATTCTTCTGTTTTCACTGAATTATCCGATCTTTGCCACAATGTCGTTCAACATCATGAACTAGCAAAATTTTACACAATTCAATCCATGATCTTTTTTCTATAAGATTATTTCTTTCAGTAACTTTTGAAATATTGAACCAAAATCCGTTAATTTTTGAGAAATGTCGTCGTTACTCCCAACAGTTCTAGCTTATTAACGTTGGACTCATCAGTGAGTTGAAACAGTTTTCGAGTACCTCAAAAATATGACAGTGCTAAGATATCTAATAAAGATACTTTCCTCACACCAGAACAATTCTACCTTCACTGTTTGGTAAGCAACCATAACTTACTCTTTTCCTGGAGATGTTGATATTTCAGAGATAGTCAGCGACTGGATTGGTAACATTATAACAGTATCTGTAGATGCTGGAAAAAACTTTCCTTCCAGTACAACTTACAGAAATGTTCAATATCATTAAGAAATACTAACAGTTTTAATAGATCAGTCGAATGATCATTATTATATTATTAAATATATAACAGACACACAAGAATATTTCTTTGCCTCTCTCGCATGCATTCATTTTACAATTTTCTTAATAGAACGCCTTGTATGATAATAGAATACATCTGTATACATTTCTAGCAACTCTTTTTAAAAGTCTACTAACCTGTCCAAATACCTTTCTGCCCTGAAGGTAGCCATCTTCAACAACGACCACGCCATCTATTGGATCAGTTCGGGTGAGATGGTCAATGAAGTCTCTCTTGCTCAGATAAACGGTGACTTTACCATTGGGAGTTGTCTTTTTGAAAACTTTAACTGCAACCACCATTTGTGGTTGATTAGAAAAGTACGATTAAACTTTTTTTCGCGGTGAACGTTGAAGTTTCGAGTCTATTTTCTGATATTCCACCACCAGAAGTGGAGACGACCAGATCGGTAGGTGTATTTAAATGGTTCGATGGGGTTTCTTAAGTGGATTATAATAATTGGATAGTAATATAAGATTTCCTTCGAAGAATATCAAAGCGTTGTGTGGGTGGGATTGGCATATTGCATTGCGTAAAGAATTATTTGTTTCAAAATATGTTAAAGTTTCTACAATAGCTAAATTTGACATTTAACTTGTCTAATGTACGATTACTGGATTGTTTTGCTCGAAATGTTCTGGACACATTCTTCTGTTTTCACTGAATTATCCGATCTTTGCCACAATGTCGTTCAACATCATGAACTAGCAAAATTTTACACAATTCAATCCATGATCTTTTTTCTATAAGATTATTTCTTTCAGTAACTTTTGAAATATTGAACCAAAATCCGTTAATTTTTGAGAAATGTCGTCGTTACTCCCAACAGTTCTAGCTTATTAACGTTGGACTCATCAGTGAGTTGAAACAGTTTTCGAGTACCTCAAAAATATGACAGTGCTAAGATATCTAATAAAGATACTTTCCTCACACCAGAACAATTCTACCTTCACTGTTTGGTAAGCAACCATAACTTACTCTTTTCCTGGAGATGTTGATATTTCAGAGATAGTCAGCGACTGGATTGGTAACATTATAACAGTATCTGTAGATGCTGGAAAAAACTTTCCTTCCAGTACAACTTACAGAAATGTTCAATATCATTAAGAAATACTAACAGTTTTAATAGATCAGTCGAATGATCATTATTATATTATTAAATATATAACAGACACACAAGAATATTTCTTTGCCTCTCTCGCATGCATTCATTTTACAATTTTCTTAATAGAACGCCTTGTATGATAATAGAATACATCTGTATACATTTCTAGCAACTCTTTTTAAAAGTCTACTAACCTGTCCAAATACCTTTCTGCCCTGAAGGTAGCCATCTTCAACAACGACCACGCCATCTATTGGATCAGTTCGGGTGAGATGGTCAATGAAGTCTCTCTTGCTCAGATAAACGGTGACTTTACCATTGGGTGTTGTCTTTTTGAAAACTTTAACTGCAACCACCATTTGTGGTTGATTAGAAAAGTACGATTAAACTTTTTTCGCGGTGAACGTTGAAGTTTCGAGTCTATTTTCTGATATTCCACCACCAGAAGTGGAGACGACCAGATCGGTAGGTGTATTTAAATGGTTCGATGGGGTTTCTTAAGTGGATTATAATAATTGGATAGTAATATAAGATTTCCTTCGAAGAATATCAAAGCGTTGTGTGGGTGGGATTGGCATATTGCATTGCGTAAAGAATTATTTGTTTCAAAATATGTTAAAGTTTCTACAATAGCTAAATTTGACATTTAACTTGTCTAATGTACGATTACTGGAACCACTATACTTTCGTTAAAAATGTTTTCCCCTTTTATGTAACGAACATCGGGAAACCGTAACCAAAATTCAAGACGTGTACTTTGCTGAACTATTACAACTAAATTGAAAATTGGGTTAATGAAATAGATTGTACCAAGTTACAAGATGGCAAAGTTGAACGGGATAATATGTAAAATATCTAAAAGTTCTAAAATATCTAAGTTATATTCGAGATTTTCTAATGACGTTTTATAATAGCGTCCTCCATAAATTTATTTTTTTACTTAGTATTCCTGATTGACTGTATAGTTCACGACTTTTGAAAAATGTAACAAAAAACAAAGCTAAACAAAACAACAACAAGAAAACAAAACAAAATTTCTGATAGTTGGTTTCTTGGGATGATCTGATTTTTGTTGAATGGTAAACAATACTTGATTATCAAAACGAAATCGAGAAATAGAAATAATTGTAAAGACATATGCTAAATAAGTATCTATACGATGTGCAACTTGAAATAGAAAATGCTCCAGAAAGAGCAATTATGACAGTGGTGTTCAAAAAGTAACAAAATTATGTCCAAATATTTCAATGACATTTAATCAATCAGTATCGTGGTACATAGGTAAAAGAAAATATTCACACCATCAAGTTATACTTTAATAAAAATGAAAAAAATCCAATTTTGAATTGAAAATTGCAAAACAAATGAAACGGCTTTAAATGAATATCGATAAAAATTGGAGATCTAATAAATATAAAGAATATACTCGTATGTCTAAAAAATGAAGATATGTAAGGTAACAGTTTCTGACAAAAAAATGATATAATAACATGTTCAATTTCAAAACGTACTCATAAGGTGGCCATCGTAGCTATAATTTAAATCTCTATCACTTTAATTCGAAAAATCATTTACCGCAACATTAAATATGAATGTGGCTTAACCGATACTTGATGAAAATCCATAACGTATTCAAGTAATAATTTATTTTGAGATTGTCACTGAACAGTTAACAAAACCGCATCACGTGTTTTGCTGTACTATGGCTCCTCATGTGCGTTCATCAATGGCGTGCAAGTATGAATACGCCTGAGTAAGCTATCGTATAATGAAACACGTGTTGCGGTTTTGTGAAGAACTGTCCAGTGGAAATCTTACAATGAAGTTCTACTTGAATGAGTGAAGAAGATTCAACCATAAAAGGATCCGGTATTTTTAAGAGACATTTTTTCTGAAGTATTGGGAAAAACTCTCGAAGTCGAAGTCAAGAAATGGAAATAGGTCGCATCAAGAGTTCGTGATGATGATGAGGAATAGTGGATGTTATAAAAACACTTCTTTCACAACAGAACTGTAGCACGTTTCTCTATCTGAGTTAGCAACATCAGATCTCAGTGTTACTAGGTTAGGTTAGGTCCAAAGTGAGTGGGTCTATTCGACCCTCTACCGCAACCCGCAAGGGTTCATTGTGGCTCACACCTATTCACACTCGACCAAATAAACCCAGCTTATTAACGAAGCTGATTAGTTTGTATGGTGAGTGGTCTTTCAGGTCAGATGGTAAGCGTACGGCTCTGCAAAACTCTAAAAACCTTATTCGGTCCCCAGCGAGGCAGGCACAAAGTATATGCTCTGCTGTTTCATTGTTAATGAGGTAGTCGGATACTCAAGGTGCAAGATTCCCCCCTTGATACCCGCGACAACCTTCCATATGAGGGTTTTTGCACGTCATCTACACCTGACGATGCCTTAGATTCATCCGTGCAGGGCTTTTTCGCCTCTGGTTTTGGTGAATCGTCACTTGAGCGCAAACGTTTGCTAACCTGCTCATGGCGGGTTTGTTCCTCCACCTGAGACAGATTCTGCGTACGCCACTCAAGAATTTGGTGCAAGGCGGTTTCATTAAGAACCCCGCTCTTGAGGAGACTGCTCAGTCGTTTCCTGGCTGCACCACCAAATCTTTTTTTTTAGATTCAGTTATCGGATCAGGAGTTGGACAGTTGAGAAGCCCTCGCTCTAAATTTACAGGGAGGTCAGTTGGAGTCGTAGGCTTGACATCCATCTCCTCTGTAGACAGTGTTACTATCTCCATTCGGGTTTTGAGGCCGTCGTAGTTTGGAACTGCATCCCAACGTTTTGCCAGCACAAAATGCTGGCTTCTTCAGAGGTTTATTCATATTGATGATTCAAGATGAATAAACATCTGAAGAAGCCAGCCACTTGTGCTGGCGAAACGTTAGGATGCAGTTCCAAACTACGACGGCCTTTAAACCCGAATGGAGATAGTAATTTATCAAAACATCAGAACTGCTAACTTGGTTGACAAAACTAGCTTCTGAAGATAGTGTTTTAGTTGTGTTGTGGAAAAACATTGTCAATACGTATGGATTAAATTTTTGGAAAACTTTCGGATTACCATCTTGAACCTAATATATTTTTGGTTGAAAATGAAGTAGTAATGAAAATTACTACTTCAACTCTTACTCTTTGGAAATTCGAGAGAAACATTTATGTGGAAAATAGAAACTGATTTACTTTGATCAAATCTACTTAGATCAAACCTTTGCCATATAATATGTGATTAGAAGAAGGTTTTTTTCAATGAGGGAGGTTTACTGTGTTATTTTATTAAAAGGTACTTCATGATAAGTATAATGAAATATGGAAGAGTATTTCACAATTCAGGGGTGAGTTTTTTTGTTCATTGAATGTGCGTTTATTATATAATATAACAACCATGATAAACTCAATAATATTTCACTCAACCTATAACTCCTTCTAATCTAGTCAACAGCATGTGTTCCATCTAAACTGACAAAACTATTTTATTTCGTATGATAACAGGCTTTTTCACTTTCTTTTTAATTATGAAATTTCCTTCAAACATTTGCAACACTGTTCTGTATTTTTATCATATTCACAAGTTTAATTTTGATTTTTGAAGTAGTTTTTGATATGCCATTCACCCATCTTTGAAATCGGGGGATTGTCTCGTATAAGAAATACTAAGTTTTCATTTTTCAACTGATATTGTAATGAGTGCGTTTTTTCTGTCATTACACCTGGCATTGAACTGGTATAACCCTCAAATTTCAACAAAGACTGTTTCGAATGATTTGTTGTTGTTCTATCATTGTAGTTGAGAAGCTCCCTAGAAATAGTTCAACAGATGATTTAATCCCATCTATTATTGTCAATAGAAAAAAGTAGATTACTTGGATGACTTCATCCAGTTAATATCAGGTAAAAAAAATTTTTAGATAATTATGATTTCAGATTCATCCAATACGAAAATTATTCTATTTTTCATAACTTCGACAACGCCGTAATCACAAGTGCATGTTCCGTAGTTTTGGTGTCAGTGTTTGTGCTGTTATATTAGAAGTGCTTGCTTGCTTGCCAATTACTGAGGTATAGTTTTACCAAACGTGAAATTCACTGTTTCTTTGTTGCAGCTTAGAGGCTTTGGTGTTGTTGTAGATGACGTGATCGACAATTCAGAGGTGAGACGCAACAACCCTTGTTGGTATAGAAATGAAAATGTCGGTATGAACGCAGTTATCGACGGCACATTACTAGAAAGCAGCATTTACTCCATACTGAGGAAATATTTTTTCGATCACCCCTCGTATGTTCCGATATTAGAGTTGTTCCATGATGTCACGCTAAAGTGTTCAATGGGAAAATCTCTTGACGGCGTTATCATGAACAACGCAGGTTCCGATTTGAGCAGGTTCACGATGAAAAATTATAATTTGATCATGAAGTACAGGACCGGCTACCACAGCTTCCAATTGCCCGTCGGAGCAGCTATGTACCTAGCCCAAATGTATGACCCCGAACAACACAGACAAGCGAAGACGATCCTTTTGGAACTGGGGCAGTTTTATCAAATACAGGTTAGTATTGCTAAAAGTTTTTATCTCGAATAATGCCATATTTTTATGCCAATTTTGATATAACTATTATGTTTGTTAATTGTTACTTTTGTGTATTACTAGAGTCAGAATTTTCAGCTACTGGGTTACACACATTATTAGCCAGAGTTATCTAACAAAATGCATATTTATTTGCAATCTAATATGATTCATTGAAAATTCAGGATTTTCTCGTTATTGTCTTCATTATTGTTATTCGATTTCTTCTTTTTCGGTATGGACATCAACTCGTTTTTCAGATGAACCTTCTCTTCAAACTTCATTCAAATTAATAGATTTTTTTCATTTAGGTTATCCATGAAAATGAGAAATCAACCAATTTAGATGAGCATTACTATTGTATTGAAAGATTTGATACATTATCACACAAACTATTTTTTCGATAGAAACTTTTACATTGCTCAAGTAAAAATAGTGAAAATAAATGAAATGAAAAACGATAATACATAATTGATTACTTGGTACTATTCATTCTCTATCTGAGACATGCCGTACTCTACATGTCATAAAGAATCGATGAATTATAAAATATCTTGAAATGCAAAAAAATTTCTTCTTGGTATAATGGTTGTTGTTCGTTGTCATCTTGGCTTAAACAGGATTGAGCCTGGCTCTCTTACCCTTTTGACTGGTGTTCGTCGGAGAGACAAACGGCCTCGACTGGATGGACTGCTTAATGGAAGGCAGCTGTAAATCTTTGCGGATGGCTTCGTTCGGTACGAACCTCGGAACTAACCTCGGAACATTCACTATCATCGGTAGTAACTTATTTTGCAATCTCTCCAAAATGGAGATATCCCATGGTTATCGCCTGAGTTTTGTCCGGGTTCACTCGGATCATTCGAGGTATCAGCGCTCGAGGTCGTCCAATGCACGTTGCATGTAGACAATCCCGAGCTCTCGACCCATGAAAGATGAGAGGGGAGCCGTATCATCGGCGTACAGAGATAGCTTCACACGCTCAGACCTCACTGGTGTGAAGTGAGTATAGCGTAGGGGAGAGCACGGCCCCCTGTGACACTCCAGTGAGGATCTCTGTATTGTCAGACAGAGAGCCTTCTACTCTAACCTGAAATGTTCTGTCTTTCAGGAAAGACCCAATCCACCGGATCAGGCCCCGTGGCAGGTCGAACGCGATTAGTTTATGCAGAAGGCCTTCGTACCATACACGGTCGAAGGCCTTCGAGATGTCTTATAAAACAACATGGACTTTTTTGTTTTGGTTCAGTTCCGCGATGGTGTTTTCGACCAGTCTCAGAGCCTATAACTCAGTGGAGTGTTCTCTCCTAAAGCGGAACTTTTCGTCAGGCAGAACATTTCGGTCCGTGACTTCTTCATTGAGCCTTTGTGGTATAATGGTGCTTTCAGTTCTCTCACCTGTTGAATATAGCTGTACTTTTTCAGAATATCATCTTGAAAGATGTATCATTTCATAATTTTTTTTATAACTGTTTAGATTCTCTTCAAACTCCAAGACATTTTGGTCATATAGTCTCCATTGCTACTTAATTTGATCAGATATTTGACATGATTCTCAAATTTAAAATAATCTAAAATAGCGTTTAGAGTCACAAACCTATTCTTTTTCGTCACTGTCATATCCTAGTGAAACACATCTCGAAATGTTGACTATTACCTCGATTATTCAAATAAGCATGATGCCTTAGATGTGGCGCAAGACATTAATAAGGCTCACATATTAAATGAGGCTCTAAAGATCCTAGCCGTTTCATACCCTCATCTGTGTAATTGTAAATTCAAGTATATTATAATACGTTTTGAGTTGAATACCCATTTCATATAAATTGTCATGAAGAATCGATTAATTATAAAAAAGTTCGAAATGCAAAAAAGTTTCTTCTTCTTGGTATAATGGTTGCCTTAAACAGGATGGATCCTGGCTCCCTCACCCTTTCGACTGGTGTTCGTCGGAGAGACAAACAGGTCAAGACTGATTTATGGGATGGCGGCATGAATGTCCTCAGATATCAGTACCGCCCTTTACGTGAACCCCTACCTGGCTGGGGTATTTGGATGAAGATATTGTTCATCTTTTAACGGAGGGAGGGGTCATCCACAGCATAATCTGAAGCTTCCCTAACTACATACATACAGCTTAATATATAGCTTTCTCAACTAACGGATTATCGTGGGTTTCTGTGCAATCAAAGATTTGCCGATTCCTCGACTGGATGGACTGCTTAATGGAAGGCAGCTGCAAATATCTGCGGATGGCTTCGTTCGGTACGAGCCTCGGAACATTCACTTTCATCGGTAGTTACTTATTTTGCAATCTCTCCAGAATGGAGATATCCCATGGTTATTGTCTGAGTTTTGTCGGGGTTCACTCGGATCGTCCATTCGAGGTACCAGCGCTCGAGGTCGTCCAATGCACGTTGCATGTAGACAATCCCGAGCTCTCGACCCATGGAAGATGAGAGGGGAGCCGTATCATCGGCGTACAGAGATAGCTTCACACGCTCAGACCTCGGAAGGTCACTGGTGTGAAGTGAGTACAGCGTAGGGGAGAGCACGGCCCCCTGTGACACTCCAGTGAGGATCTCTGTATTGTCAGACAGAGAGCCCTCTACTCTAACCTGAAATGTTCTGTCTTTCAGAAAAGACCCAATCCACCGGATCAGGCCCCGTGGCAGGTCGAACGCGATTGGTTTATGCAGAAGGCCTTCGTACCATACACGGTCAAAGGCCTTCGAGAAGTCTTATAAAACAACATGGACTTTTTATTATGGTTCAGACTGGTCGAAAACATAGATAGTGTTTTCGACCAGTCTCAGAGCCTGTAATTCAATGGAGTGTTCTCTCCTAAAGCCGAACTGTTCGTCAGGCAGAACATTTCGGTCCGCGACTTCTTCATTGAGCCTGTGTGGTATAATGGTGCTTTCAGTTCTCTCATCTGTTGAATATAGCTGTACTTTTTCAGAATATCATCTTGAAAGATGTATCATTTCATAATTTTTTTTATAACTGTTTAGATTCTCTTCAAACTCCAAGACATTTTGGTCATATAGTCTCCATTGCTACTTAATTTGATCAGATATTTGACATGATTCTCAAATTTAAAATAATCTAAAATAGCGTTTAGAGTCACAAACCTATTCTTTTTCGTCACTGTCATATCCTAGTGAAACACATCTCGAAATGTTGACTATTACCTCGATTATTCAAATAAGCATGATGCCTTAGATGTGGCGCAAGACATTAATAAGGCTCACATATTAAATGAGGCTAAAGATCCTAGCCGTTTCATACCCTCATCTGTGTAATTGTAAATTCAAGTATATTATAATACGTTTTGAGTTGAATACCCATTTCATATAAATTGACAGTATTTAGTTGTCGTTTGACCTTAACATCAGTTAAAGGGGGAAGGGAGCCAGGCTTCAACCTGAAGAAAATCAAGATGGATTTCGGCGTCGTTTGACCTTACTTTGTTTTCTCTGACAACTAGTAATCATTCTGCGGTGAATATTTTTTCATTTTTCACACTTAATCAGAACCTTTCATCAAATTTGTAATGTAATTCAATAACATTTTTTTGAAATCCAAGCATTGTGTGAATAAACTTGTGATATTTTCCTCAATACATTTATATATTTAGTTTGGCATTCGAAAAATGCTAAAACGTTTGATTTTCCTAGCAACTGAATTATTATTGGCAAAATTTAACGCAAATGTTATAACTTGTATCCGCACACTTTTGTCCCCTATGCGTATGTTATGAAAAAATTTATATTTTCCAAACTGTTAATAAGTTTATGATTCTGCAACGTTACATGGCTGACGGACTGCTATGATGCTCCCTAGGTGGCTCGGGGAGTTATTAACATTGCCTACCCAGGACACGAGGCTAATGACCAATGCAGTCGATGCCGATGGCACCCAAAAAACAACGAAATCCTTTTTGAAACTAATGTTTCGCAGCTATTTAATTGGCACTATGCGCTTGCGTATTGCTAGTGTGCGGCTAGCCTAATAAGAGTTTCTTACATATCAATTTCATATCATCGTAATAATCCAATATTTTAGTAACAAATAAATATTCTTTTTGAATACATCTCTATATCATTTATTAACAACAATATAAATAAACTTTTTGGGGATATAGAAAAGTAATTCACACTTTCATTGCACGTATTAAAAGTAAATAAATGAATAAATATTTTGTATGACTTCTATTTGCCATGGAATGATAGCCGATCGGTTTAGGATTTTCAAACGAACTTGTTGTATCTTGCGAATTAACCAGATATTGGAAGATATGGCAAACATGGAACATTGATATCGAATATTTATTTACACTGATGTTGAGGTTCGGAGGGAACCTTTTTAGTATAAGTGCAAATCACTTGCTTACTTTCTGCATTATTGGCCCGTTATTTTCTATTTTTGTCCATATTTGTCTTAGAAACTTCTCAGTAGTTATTGTAGACTTAATTAAAAAAAAACCAACGCTACAATAGTGTTTGTGTTCTATAATTTTTTTTTAATTAGGTTATTTCAGCTTCGAAGTCCTCTTAGTAAATCAAAATAATTGACAAAAGTATTTTGAGATTCATAATAGAGGTTCCGTATTGATAGCATTTTCCAAGTAGGGGTTATATTGGATAGTACTGGTACTGATAAACGTTTTGCTGAATTTTTTGAAAATTATTGGGTGGAGCTACTTCCCTTAAAGCATTTGCATCATTGATACTTCCAATTATAACTACTCACTTATTTCGAAATCAGTGGTATTCCGTTTCATCTTTCTACAGTTTTCCGTGTTTCAAAACAATGCCTTTAATGACCTATAAGAAATCACCTACCATGAAATCCATAAATTAAATTGTAATCTTTACAAGACTAACATATCTTATACAAATAAGTTTAAACATTTTTGCTGAATTCAGATATAAATGACTCATATAATAACATTTCGCACTATTATTATCATTGCGAATGATTGCTAACATTTTTCCTTTTTTTTTTCAGAAAGACTTCTTGAACTGTTTTGGAGACAGCCAAGTAACATGGAAACTTGGCTCCCACATCAATGAAGGAAAATGCTCGTGGTTGGCAGTAGTTGCCCTACAGAGAGCGAATCCCTCTCAGAGGAAAATAATGGAGAAATATTACGGGCAACAGGGTGAAGAATCTGTAGAAGTCATAAAGAATTTGTATATAGAATTGGGACTTCCGGCTACCTACGCTTGTTATGAAGAAGAAAGTTACAAATTAATTCATACGCATATTCAACAAATATCTAAAGGATTGCCCCACAAATTATTCTTCACCCTTTTGGATAAATTGTTTGAGAATCAGTGATTCCATGGTCTCTTTGAACTTTGTTCAATCTTGAATAAACCTTTGATAAAATGGACGAAGGGCGAGATAAAAACTAACTTTTATGTGATAAATTTTATTCATGCCATATATTGTGCTTTACAAATTGTGTTAGGATATAATCTGATAAATAATTAAGTGAAGCTTTGGTATTGAATTTGGTAAATTTTTATACCAATTTTATATAGAGGGTTTATATTATTTGTTAATAATAAAATATATATTAGATTATGCGTTTTTAAATACCTTGCCTTCATACTAATAGTTATAATTTCAAATCTATATTTCTCAACCAATTCCCCAAAAAGGGGATCATGAGTAATACAGAACTGTTTAATGCAAATAAGATCAACAATCCTAAAGCATCGTATCGTTTTTACCTGAAAGAGGTTCTTACGAAGATTTAACGGCTGACGTTTCGCCCAAAAACGTTCTAGAACATTCCAAATTGATCAATAGTATTCGAAAGCATGCCACAACATTCCAGAATATCCAGGAAGATATTTCGTGGATTGTTCAGGAATAGTTCGGATCGTTGGGGACAATTCTGAAATATCCCATGATGTGGTAGCTCCCTATCCTCCATCTATGAAAAATGTTTTCGTTTTGACCTGAAGGGCGTGCTTTTGAAGATATGGGGATATGAAAGTTCCAGAACAGTCGAACAATCCGGAATATGCTGGAATGTGGTGAAATGTTAGAGAATAATCTGGAACATTCGGGACCATCCTGGAACATTCCAGATCATTGTTGAACGGTCAAGAGACTTATATGTTGCGAAACCCTCTTTCTTCCATTCACGAATAGGGTTCTTGTTTTTACCTGAAAATATAAGATCTCAAATTTTCACCTTTTAGTAACTTCAGGAACAGTCCAGAACATTCGAGAATATTCGATAGCATTCGGCAACATTCCAGAACATCTCGAAACAGTCTAGAATGTTTGATCTTTGATCACGTTTCCATCAAGTTCACGTTTGAAGTTTCGCTGACTAGAAATATATATATATAGAACATTCAAGAGTTTGGAACATACTGATTCATATGTACTTCATTTGAAAGTGATCGACAAGATTTCAAGGTGAATTTCACTCGTTCGAACTTTCATTGCCTGATATGATTCTAATAGGCATAGAGTAGGAAGAAATAATGTAAAATGGAAATGAAAATAAGCAGAAGATTTAAAATTGAACAAACAAAAAGGAAATTGCAATTAACAAAACTAAAAAAATCAAACTAAGTTACTTCACGAAGTAACCACAATCGTTTTCGGGTGATGACTGGACTATTCCTCCGAGAGGTCATAGGAACGCTTCCACCTATCCCATCTTTCCTCTCTCCGCTTCACCGGTTTAGTGAAAGTTGACCATTTTTCTGCTTGATTAAAGGTTTCCATATGTTGCGTATTTCTACGACAGCTTGTCTGAATGCGTCGTGGGACAACATATATGCAGCTTCTTTGAACATTCTCTTAAACCAGTGCAGGTTCTGTTATTGTATTTAGACCCAATCATCTTATCTCTGACGTAGGGATGGGCAAGCACTGGTTGTGACGGTTTCCCTTCCTTGTGAGGTGTTTGCTGCCTTTCAGCCAAAATCTGTTCGACCATCACTTTAGTGTAACCATTCCGCTGAAGATTTTTTTTTGATGATACCTGGATTCTTCTCGAAACCTTCCTTCGTATTACAGAGCTCGTATTACAGATCCACTAGATTCCTGATGATTCCACTTTTGGTAGATTGATGGTGGTGGATTCGTGATTCAGATATTGTCCCGTGTGAGTAGGTTTTCGATATACAGATGTTTCCCACTTAGTGTCGTCGGTCCTCATCACCAATACTTCTAAGAATGGCAATTCGTTGTGTACTTGAATTATTGTTGGACCACCAACAACAATTTTGGAAGTAACTGTTTTGATCGACGAAAAAGTTGCCTCGTCTTTCCATGAAATCCTGTAGAAAAATGCGATATCATTTTCTCTCTCACCTACTCAAATATCGAAATCTCTTTCTTTAAGAGTGTGTATGAACTTTGGCTTATAAGGATAGAATTTATTTTTATGCAAAATTTTTGTCAAAGTTTCCTTAATACTCTTATACCAGTTTTTCCGCTCTTGTCGAAGTGACAATAGAGAGTCCAAACTTCGAGCAATGGTGTAAAATTGGAAACTGATCAACTTTTTCATTTGACATTTTTCGAAATTTACAAAAAACTGATTTTTTGAGGATTTTACAAAAAAATGTCAAATTTGACAGGTTCAGAGTAGCACATGACAAAAGGAAAGAGGCTGTTTTTCACTAATTTTTCAAGCACAAACTAACTGCGAAGTCAAATTTCCTCGTTCGAAAAGGAAATTTATATTTAAAAAGTAACGAATAAATGCCATATCATACACACATACATACATACAATTTTGAAAATAATTCAAAATAATTGATTGGATGGTAATTGTAAATTGATGTGAATTGATCTTCACATCAGTAATTCCAAGAAACAAATGAGTAAATCTCGCGACAAGCTTTTAATAATATAAATTGTGAAGTATAATAAAAATAACGGGTATAATGTAAATTGATTTTTTGGAGCATGAAAGCTTGTTTTAAAAAATATTTTTTACTATCAATTTATTTGTATCTACGCCTGTACCTACACATTGTACGAGTACTGTTATGAAATCAATAACAAGTTTTCAAACGCATGACACAATTTTTTTCACGATCTGTTTCGTTTTCAAACTATGATAAAATTGATAAGTTTTTAGGACAAATATTGTATTTAGCAAGATAACTTCGGGCAGTATTCGATTTCAGTTCTATTTTCGTAATATTATCATGTTTACAGTCTCATTGTTGAAATGGATTTTCGTTTCTCGTTGTCGACAAGAAATTCATTCAGAAAGATAGGGAAAACAAAGTTAATTCAGTTATATTAACACAGTCACGAGATTTTTTTATTTCTTGGGAATGAGTTGGTTAGCAAATATATGCTTAGTTGAAAAAGATTTATTGAACCGCGTATATACTCCTGAATTTTGTTTATAATGGATATCAAACTGACAGAAGAATTATATTTAATCTAAATAAAAAGTTATATCAATGACCTTTCATGCTCTCATCTCTTTTCAAGACTTCTTTGAAACATGATACATCTGACCTACTTTGGCATCATATTCAACTGATACTATTACAACTGTTATGACATTCAGTTATAGTGAACAGAAAAAATACACCTAGCGAAAACTCGATTGACAGATTTTTCATACTGAATATACCAGAAAAAGGGTTGTCATTATTAGCGTTGGTGAAAATAATCTAACAGGGTGATACCTGTCAATTTAATTTGCCCTAGTTCATCAATTCACGGACTGTTAAATAATTTACTGGTAAAATCTCAAACTAGTTACTGCAACTTAATTCTATGATTGGGTGCAGTACCCAAATACATCCACATGAACCTACTTGAATTCGATAAATTCATTGAAAAAATAAATTAATAGTGAAGAAACATTTTCAAAAAGAAGCCTTATTTCATGTGTTCTGGAAAGGAGAAATTAAACTTTGAACTGAATCAGAAAAATCTTTGATATTGTTTTGGAGGCCGTCTTGTTTTTCGCCATTTTTTTTTCATTTGATTCAATATTCATGTCATTGGCGCACATGAATAATTTAGTCCAGCCCACCATCTTTGGGAGTCCGCTTTGTTGAATTCAGAGTGACGTCATTTTATTATACGGTGACAACGATATCATTGTACACGACGTCATTCAGTTATTTAACATTTTCACATTTATGTTCTGTTGATGTTATTGTGATATATTGGAATTGTTGAAACATAAAAAAAATGCTAAACGACATATTGGCATTTTCTTTGTTTGCCTTGAGTCACTTCTATCATACAATCTTATCAAAGTTACATAAATCATACCATATGCAAGCATGGCATAACTCAAGACCTACAATGTTGATAGACATCAATCATTTGTTTTATTATTTCTTTTAACTTTGGGACGGTATCCGGTTGGGTTGGCGTAGATGGTTTGTTCTACTCATTCGACCGTCAAATGAAACGTTAGCTCAAACTGAGATTCCAGACGATCAATTTTTACTGTCTATCGTCCAATCCGTGCTAAAAATCGCACGTTAGAAGGTGAGCCCTTGTCAATCCTTATCTCGCACAAGTTTCGACTTTTGAGGACTGTCGTTGGTAGGGGGGCGTTGGCCCTAACTTTTCCAATTTCGAGTAGTAATGTCAGTTACTAATTGTAGCTACCGATTGTAGCGTAGCGTAGATGGTTTATCCTTGTGAATTTTGACTCTGGGTAGCCAAGACGAAACATATCATAATATCTTGCTGTAACCTGTAAATACTTGTAAATAAATTATCAGTTTCAAGTCGTTTTATCAATATAACTATTCGTTGTGACTCCTTTGGTTCTTAGTAAGTGCCACTATTTGATCTGTGAACTAACTGAATGAACGAGAAAGCTCTTCAATTTACCGGCTAGATGGCGTTTCATAATAATTTATAAATTTTAGGTCTGCGGTATATAAAAACCCACCTTTTTTAAAAATTTGAAAAATAGAATGACTTCGAAATGCAGAATTATAATTTTCACAAAAATTCCGAAAGTAGTTTGAAAATAATCATTGTGTGCTCGTACACGGAAGGTATAAATGAGTGGAATGAACTAATGGTTGGAAAATTTTTTAAAAGCCCTTCAGCGAGATTTTTCTTACTGTTTCGAAAATTGGATAGAAAAGAGGAAAGTGAGTTGATATTTCATCCCGTGTGGATCATGGCGCATCTGCTTCAAAATAAACCGATTTGACACTATTTTGTATCAATCTATTGTCTTTGAAATATTGGGGATCAGCTATATTTCAAATAATCACACTGTGTTCAAAATTTGACACCTCTAATTAGTTTTTTTGGTTTTCCTGTTGAGCTCTGCAGTGGTCTGATTTTCTAAAATGATCCATTTTTTTCAGTTGCAAGCCCATTTCCTCATTTTGGACGATCTTATGGATAAATCCGAAACACGAAGAGGACAGCCAAGCTGGTACAGAAATGAGGGTGTCGGACTTTTGGCTATCAACGACGGACTTCTGGTAGAGAATAGCCTTTATTCAATCCTTAGAAAATACTTCTCCAACAAATCCCAATACGTACCAATAGTAGACTTATTCCATGAAGTCACTCTCAAGACAGCTATGGGACAATCACTCGATT